TAGACAATAATTTTAGCTACTAAACCTACGAACCTTACTAGCCACTTCAGTGACTTGGGTTTGTACAGTATCTAGTAAGCCACCCTCTTTTATCTAGAATAATAATATAATTGCAAATAATAAAAAAAAACATATACACAAAATATAAATAATAATATAACAAAAAATAGTATTAAATAAAATAAATTAAAATTATTAACATATATGTAATTTAAAAAATTAATGTATATAAATTATTTACTTATTATAAATAAATTTTAATTTTGAGAGTATATATTAAAAACATATATACAAAATAAAAATAATAATATAACTTAGAGTGTAATAAAATGAAATAAATAAAAATTATGTAAATATGTAATATGTAAATAAAAATTTATGTATATAAATTATTTTCTTATTAATAATAAATTTTCACTTTATGAGCATACTTAAATTTCAAATATGTAATAAAATGAAATGGATTAAAATTATTATATGTAAATAAAAAAATTAATTTATAAAAATTATTTACTAATTAGAAATAAATTTAAAAATATACAAAAACAAATATATATTATATTTATATATATAAATATAAAATATATATTAAAACAAATATACAAAATTAAAATAACAATATTACTTAAAGAATAATAAAATGAAATAAATAAATAAAAATTAAAATAACTTTAAAATTTTAAATTATACAAAAACAAAAAACCCAAATTTATTAAATAACTTTTCCGAAGTTGTAGGTGTCGGCATTTCTAATGAGAACATACCAGATAAAAACGTGATGGATGGAAAAATTTGTTTTTCATATCTGATGATAAATTGCAATTACGTGGTCAAAATTTTCATTAGAGAAGGTAATTAACTGCATTCATCATTTCAAACAATGTCACTTAACAGTAGACTAAATTAAATATTAGTAGACTAACGTAAATAAAAGTTGAGATAAAATATATATTTTATGATTTTGATCTTATAAGAAATGTGCAAAATTTATCTCAAAACCAAACCTATGGCAGAAGAAACCAAACATAATGTTTATGAAACCATACAAAACTAAAATAGAGGAACAGATGTTAATATTATTTTAATAAAAATATGTTTCAGAAATGCGTCATGTACAGTGAACACTCTCTTGAGATAACACTTATCTTTTCTCAACATATGTTATCTCAAGAGTTGTTTGCACACAAAGGTGCAAGTTGTTCCAAATAATGATAGAAACAGAATTTACTTTAAGAAGTATTGTTCACTCAAGAGAGGTGTCAATAACTATTAGGAGCATATTCTCCATACAAATGGACACCCCAACGGTATCATATTCAGTAGAGTTCTTCCTGTCGATAAACCCTTTCTTCATATCATAGATACAAAGAATACCTATTGCAATAGAACTAACATCACTGAGATCAAATAAAAATAACAGCCCTCCACACAGATACAGAATCCTATTTGAGACCACGATGGTACTACAAAAAAGTTCTCAACAGGCGTCCGCTTAAAATTTTCGGGAGAGAACGATCCTTCCCACATGCAACAAGAACTGTTCCAGTCACGCAACAGTGTGTAAGTTGTGTGTAATCTTTGCAGCTCTACCCTTCAAGATATCGTCCACCTGTTTTCCTATCCCAAAGCACACAGTAATTTGAGTCCAATCGATTCATTGGAACTCACCCTATTGAAGGGGCTAGGTTTTTCTGCCTCGACCCAGGTTGACTTTAATTAAAATCCCTATCCAACCTCAATTCGTTTCTACTCTTAAAAATTCCCCACTCACATTACTACTATATAACTCATCTACATCCTAATCCGTGTTTAAGTCTTTGTAATTGCTTTGTTGTCGTTGTCGTAACCCGCTGGGACCTAACAGCAGATAACATGAAAAGTTTACAAGACGAATATATGGATTAGAATGTGAAGAGGTGATGGTAGGGTGGAGGGGAATAAGGGAGAAGGGGTTGATTGGACCAGCCCCATTAAAGTGGTTAGGTTTAACCACCTTGCTTTCTCCGCTCATACTACTAGCGCCCACGTCTGCGGGTTACAACAACAACAAGAGAATTTTAATAATTAAAATACCGAGTCTTAATTCATGGTAATTCATATAATATAGATTTGATACTATTTCAACTCTTATTTAGGATTAGTTCTAACAAAACTTAAGTTAAAATATGTATTATTTACAGGAAATTCCACCAGTGTAGTTAACACATAATATTTATATAAAGTACTAATATGTAAATATATTTTATTTATATATAAAACAAATAAAACATGTTTATATACATTTTAATAAGATAAGATATATATAACTTATAAAGAATACACTTACTTCACATATATAGAAAATGTAATGTCATATACACATAACTATATAATTTGAAGTAGGGTATGTGAAAATCGTTGTTGATCGATTAATAATAACAGACAATTTTAAAATAAACAACAAAAACACAAAATATTAATTCAAAGCCAGAAACAGCAAATAAACAAACTACCAGAGACAAACGTGAACTGCTCTGTGACCTTGAATGAATGGGTTTGATGTGAAGATTTTGAAGTTGGTAACAAGCAGAAAAACTACTTTTTTACAGCGCAAAACAATAAATATACATACAATTTTTAATATACAATAAATAATTAAAAGTTAAACTAAATATATCAGCAGCGAGTGTGCTTACCTTGGAAGAAGCTAAATTGACTGTGGTGACAGCTTTTTCTTTAGCAGTGACAGCAATTTTGGAGGCACTAGCTGATAAGAGACTCCAACCCTGCAAATGGAAATAAATTAATTAAAAATTAAATTGATAAAATTTACATTGCAATGCTTACAGATGCCAGTGACGATAGTGTGGAGTCAAGAATTTCTTGTGATTGGGTTTTCGGTGGTGGATCTCTTGTGAAACCAAATCCTGCATATTTACCACCTTGATTGGGCGGCAAATGACTAAATAAATCAAAAAATACATATTTAAAGATTTATTTTTAAAACATCATATCATCACTGATGGGTTGTTAACTTACTCTGGACGTGTGGCATTTTCTGCTTGTCGACGTGTAAAGAATTCCTCTTTCTGATCCTTAAATTCTGGTGTATTGTATTGTTGATAATTGTTGTCGGTGTAGTTGCCAACTCCATTCTGATAACCATTATTACTGCTGCTGTTGCTATTATATTGTTGTGCTGAAGTTGATCTGCTGCCACCCAAATTACTACTACTACTGCTACTGTAGTTGGAATTGTTACTGTTCGAAATACGTCTTTGCGCTTCACTTAAATCCCAGGATTTACCTTGTGCTAGTGTATTGATTTTATCGCGATATAGAGCTGCAGCTTTTGAATTGTATTTTTGTGCAAATGGTGCACGTTCATTCCAATCGGGTTGATCCTCTAAGAATTCATGTGCATTACGATTTCCACCCACTCTCATTTTTTCCAATTCAATATCTTTCCATTTGTCCATTGTGACCGAACGTACAAACGAAATGTGCACACCAAGGCCACGATGTTTTCCAGAGCACTCTAAACAAATCCATATGCCATAAGTAACGGATACCCATTGAGGATTGTGTGTACCACATTCGAAGCATTTCTGCAAGTATTATAAATTTTATTATTTTATTTATTAAGTATTAAATAGAGAATTGTTTAAAACACACTGAATTATCATCTTGTGGTTTAAGTTCCTGCAATACGCGTCGTGTTCTTGGACTTGCCATCTTTTGTTATAAATTGAAATTAATTTGTGTTGTAACTTTTTGAAATTAG